ACATTGGTGACGCCGATAGCAACAGCGGCGGCAACCTCCCTAGGAGTAGAAGCGACACGGGCGTCACTGAGACGGGAACGAAGCATCGGCCGAATGAGCGAGCGAGCATCCGATTTACTCAAAGAACAGCGAAGAGATCGGCTTTTTTCAGGTCTGCGTCGCACTAACCCATCGACCGACAATTGAACTTAAGGCAGCGGCAGTGGCAGCAGCAACATCAGGAACCACAACGAAGATGAAAATGACTTGAGTAGAACGGACAGCAGTTGCATCAGGCTCCGTCAGGCGAGCCGCCGGCATCAGCAGGGCGTACATAACGTATGTATATTTGCCCTATACTGCGGCCTGGAGAACTACCTACCTGCTCGCTTGCCTGCCTGATGCCTGCTGGCCTATCCCGATGACGTCTGATGCTCAATGCCATCAAGAATAAAGCAGCTCCTCCTGAACTTTGCTGAAGAACGACGACGGTCGACATCGCCATCGACTCCATTGGCGGTGGAACGAGCCGCACTGGCGGCAGCAGCGGCACTAGACAAAACCAAGAGCGGCTCAGTCGAGTGGTCTCGGTTGAAGCGGCGATCTTCGGGCTCTCACAGTGGCTTGCCAGGATTAGATGCTGCGCCCGCTGGCTAACAGAACTTCGCCAGCAACAGTAGCATCAAAAAGATTGCTCTTTGCCTTTCTTTGTGTCGCAGCGTTGGCGTTGTCGTTGTCTGGACCAGACGCCTGCATCGTTTCCGCCATTGCCGTGACACTAGTCACCCAGCAGAAGCCAAGTTGAGGCAACAAACATGTGCGTAGTTGGGGGCTGTTCTTGATGTTGATGACTCCGCATGTGACAGAGTGTTGGTCTGACCAGATCTAGCCCCCCCCTGAAAACGGCGAAGTGAGATCCGAATGGCCTGCCACGAGTCACTTCGGTGCTGCCTGGCAGTGGCGGCGGCCCCTCACACCTTCCGACAAAAATAACTGTAATAATACCGCAGTTTTAAGCGACGGCAAGAAGCGCTAGTGACGATGCTGCGGTTGCCAAATCGCAGCTGATGATAAGAGCGCTCGTAGAGCTATTTCGAGAGCGTCAGTCAATACATAAAGCAGTCAGCGAACCTGTATTGGTAACATATTGGGGAGACGCAAAATTTGAAACATTATCGTGTCGTTAAGGGGCCGATAGGTTGACTGGCTGTTGGCTATTATTGAGAGCACTAAAGATTGTTTGGCTGTTATAATACAGTAGAAGAAGAAACTGATATTGGGGGGGTGAAAATAGTCTTCAGTTGGTCACTAACGTTAAAATAAATAGAAGCTAATAAATGGAAGTAAATATCAACATTTTTTTTTTCCAAAAACTAAAATCATATGGTGTTTATGTTTTTGCCAAAAACTGATAAAGTACAAAGTTTAAGTTTGTACTAATCTATGGATATGGACTAATCTGATGTATGGATATTACAACTGGAACAAAAGCAAGCGCCTAAAACCGACTTGATAAATGTATATCGGCAAAAAAAAAAGAAGCAGAGCATAAGCGCTACTACAGTCGTGAAGGGCATCAGAGAGTTCGATAAAGTTTATCGATGCCTTAATAGCTTTCGTTAATATCAAAGGTCGACAAACTACTGTTCAAAACCCCGCGAGCAGTTTGGATCTATCGCAGGCTGCCAAAACTTATCGTAAGAACTACTTTGACCAATTAGATTGCGGGGAGTGAAACAGAATATATCGTCCTGATAAGATTGATGTAGTTGTGCTGCTTTAAAAACATGACCCTAAGCACAACGGATCGATGTTGGCTCAAGCACGCGTATCGCGAGAACATACATGAAAAGTCCTTAAAGGGAATCAAGCAAAAGTTTTTACAGCATATTCATTTCTCGGAGGGTTTTTGAAAGCTTTTTCGATGTATCTTGGAAAAATTCTCTCATACTCTCACTAAAAATACATTGTTCGAACACAAATACGAACACTGTAATAAGTCTATCCAACAAGTGCCACCATTAAAGCTATGAGATTAGCTATGAGCAGATAGGCCACCTCTATGTCTACGTCGACCGCTTAACCCGAAAGCTAAGAACAAAACCGAATTACCTAACTGATCGATCATCTCTATCTATATACATTACACCGCCCACATTGCAGTATATAGCGTACGTACAATGATATCCTGCTTCGATTCCTAGTGTTCTATCTGCAGCTATCCTCCATTAGTACTTATGTGGAATAGTGGTTTGGCTAGAAGCATACATAGATCGAGCACAACATGCCGATCTGTAATTTTTACTCAACAAAGACCTGCGGTATGCCTATCGCTTTTGTGCCTTTTCCCTGCAGGACTTTGGGTTCTATCAGAAATACATGTTAGCTGTTGCCTATACTAAAACACAATAAAACTTCTGCGAGAATTCTAAGATTTGTGTTGCCGTTGTGACGCCGCTATAGAAACGACTTGTGCTTGGTGGAGCACGCGTCCACACACGCGCCAAACCTGCCGTTAGAACCGATTGCCTGGTGGGAGCCCCTAACGAAATCTCAGCACTCGGTGGATTGACTAGAGGTCGTGGTGATCGCTCGGCAATCTCCACCATTATCTCAGGTTGTTGAGACATTGATCACAGAAACATCTGGCCCCGGCCTGCGGGTCGATCGCACCGGGGCTAGAATCTGAAAGGCTCAAGTCACCCTACCCAAGTCAGGTTAAACAGGCAGCAGATGGAACACGGACCGAAGACGTACCATTCTACAGGGTCGTCGAGGAGGCGGCCGCTTCCGATCGATTGGAGGCTACCTTTCTCGCCGAGAATAAATCGCCGGGAAAAAAAAAGATGAAATTAACGAAAGCGAGAAAAATACGCCACGAAACGCCTTATCTAGTAAAAATTGACCCCCGAAGAGCCGGCTAGAATTTAACTCGTTCCATAATTATTCGCTAATGCCCTAATCTCATATTAAGTATAGCTATCTGTCAAAGTCGAATTTAGTCATTGTAGGTCACTTAGGGGTGGATCAGTTCTTTGAAAGAACGGGTTTTACGTTAGGATAATTTAACGTGCACATCTTTTAGTACTCCTGTGGGATAGGTATGGGTTCTAAGTAACTAGTCAATTTTTATGTAACTAGACCTCTATTCGACCAAACACTACATGTTGGGTTATAGATATCGGTAGATGCTCAAAGCAGTTCTAAATAATCGTTTCGGAGCCAACACAAAAAAAGTTAAAAGATGACGTCATCAAGGCAGGACAACTCCGGAATGAGAACCGTTCTTATTGAAGTTTCATTAAAGGAGTACGAGCGCTCAAAATAATTCGCGTTCATTGAAGCATTTTATTCATACTTTAGTTTCCTAGTAGTTAATCCGTTATTTATAGGTACCAACAAAGATCAATAAGGCTTTCGTTAGGTACAATTACATTAAGTTCAACAATAGATTATTTAATTACGTGCTTCCAGCTTTTCGCTGCAAATAAAAACACATTGCAAAAGCGACATTGAAAAAAATAGCGTGGAGCCCCGGTTCGAACCAGAACGCATTCAAATATGTATAATTAATATTCTCGGCCAATAAGGTCGAACAGCTTAACACAAAGGAGCAACGACTGACGGTACGTAAACGGACCACGTAACTTGCAAGGCGCAAAACTTGAAGTTGCTTAACGTTACAATGACCGCCGGCTCCCCCTCACTGCATCCCACTAGCATATTCTGGCATATAAGACGAACGGCCAGCAATTTAGTATCTAATCTGCTACTCTTTCATGAAAAAGACCATTAATCTCAAAGTGTGGGAACGTAGAGTGTACACATGAACATTCTGAAGAAGAACGCCGACTGACGCTGAACTACCAAAAGGAATTACAGCGTAAGGGGACAGAATCGATAAACTATTAAGACATTAAAAAAGAAGAGGTTGAGGATTTTTAAAAAAATCACTACTATTTTTTAATCTTGAGTACTAGTCCTAGTGAGCAGTAGACATTCTGACATTATTAGAGCATGATGATAATTAGCGAGCGAAAATTATCAGCTACAGGCTACTTTTTGCCTTCGGACCAGTATCGTGGTGCTCAGAGAAACCTCTGACGAAGCTGCATGGTTTTTGGACGCCTACCAACAGCTCGAACTTCACATCGAGAGCAATGTCAGGATAGCATTATCTCATCAGTCAAAGGCTGTGGCACATCAAAGAAGACTAAAACTGTGGCGTTTTCAACAACGAAACGCACCTTAACATAATCGAGCATTGCCTTAGGCCAAGGTAATTTGGCCTTGCAGAAGTCAAAAAAAAAAGTCGAAAAAAAAAAGAAAATGGGGACCGCCTTCAACTCAATATGGGACTGAAATCAACATTGTCCGTAGGAAGGGTAAATAATTGCGCAGTGCTTAGTTAGGGACTCCTGATGCAATGATAGCAAAGCGTGTCTAAATTTGTTCCTATTTGCTCGATGAAGAGTTAAATGCATAAGATCAAGTTATAAAGTAACTTGACTACAAAGCTTTAGACATTCCAAGTTTTTTAGTAAGAACTAAGAGAATTAAGTATGCGTGCGTATCTTAACCTAACTTTCATTTGCTCTTTTATATCAAGGCCTGGGAGTCACGTGCTAATCTGGCCTTCAAAACTGCCTAAATTGGTTTTGCTGGAATTATAAGGAATTTCTGTAACAGACTTATGATTTGGCAAGCTAATCCCATTAACACTCCTTCCAGTTGTTGCTCTTTTGCCGTACCTTTTAATTTGTTCTTACTTTTCAATAAATCCTTTGTTATCATTTCACCAACGCTGAGATATGAATCAACAGCGGTCGATAAGTGTGTTATCTATGGCTACTATAGAAAAGGACTTTGGGATGCGTATATTGAAAATTTGATATTCAGACCATGCCCTGAGCCAGGTAGGCATAAATGCTGCCTTTCTCACGTAGACTTTCATTCAGCAGTTACTATTCGATATTAACTTACTATCCCACACGTTTTATTTCGCACTTCTATCCTTTCAGAGCTATAATGACTTCGGACCGTTATCCAAAACTACGTATTGCGTATCCAGCGGTGAATACTTCGATCCCGTTGCCGGACCAAGCGAGCCGTGGAACGGCCCGCGGACGACGGTACCTACCAAGTACTACAGTGGCGTCAGCAATTTACCGCCGCCGCCGCCCCTGCACCACGAGCCTTCAGCACCTCCGTCTTTGCAAATCGCTCCACAGCATAGTCAGGGACTCAACCAACAGCAATCACCACAGCATCAACAGCAGACGCAACAGCAGACCTCACAGTTGACGGGGGTTATGGGCACAGGTGTGGGCGCTCCACAACAACATTTTTCGACATTACCGCCGATGTCAAGCTTCGTGAGTGATTACTCAACGCCGCCACCGCCACCACCCGCTACAACGATGGGAGGTGTTGGGGTTGGGGGAGTCGCTGGGATTGGGTCTGGCCTGAACGGAGAACAACAACAAGTACAACAACTTTCAACTAGTACGACGCTAGCGGCGGATCCGATTTCTGCCAGTGTCGCTCTAGCAAACAAACTCTATGGTGATTATGGACCCTCACCGGTTGCGAGCTCGTCGCCCCCCCAGAGCTGGTCGCAGCCAGCACCGCCGGCGCAGGCCTCACCACAACAACAACAGGGCTCCCAGCAGCATCAACAAGGCCCGCCTACCTCTCAGCAACAACAACAGGATCAGCGGTTACAGTTATCTTACACGACAGCAGGTACGAGTGAATAATGTTGTACGATGTTATTCTAAACAGTCTTCTTGTAAAGGCTAAAGCCTTCCAACATTGGAGCTTCTGTAGAGTGTAGTAAAGAAGTAGCCTAGTAGCATAAACAAGAGAACATCGTTATGATATTCACTCGGGTCATTTATGACCGCATTGCGTAGCGTTATCAGTAAAGGTGTGTGAACTTGACATAGTTTTAACATACATCTAGAGAAACTATATTCTGAATCCGCTTGAACTGATATGATGATAAGCTACTGCAGTCATTTGTATAGATAATGTGAAAAAAAGAAATATATATATACTACTATTATAGAGAAGCAATAATTCATCCAAAGGGTGATTCCCAAAGTTCGCTTTCCTATAAGTCGTATCATTAATGATTTGCTGGACTAATTACAGCTCATCAAGGAGGCGGTGGTGACTTAATATCGAGTCACAGTGTTGGCGTCATGGAGGAGAGGTTGGACGATGCAGTGAACATCTTACGCGTCCACGCCGAAGCGGCTAGTCCATCAAATGCGGTTCCACCGACACCGCAGTACCCTCTCAGTCCAGGTTATGGTCAGGCGGGAAGTCCTGCCGAGCTCAAGATGAACTCATACCCAAACCCTCCGCCTCCGTTGAAAGTTGAGGTAAAGGACGAATCGGCGAAAAGGTCAAAGACTTCAAGTCCCGCGGTGGCACCATCGAGATCACCGACACTTGTTGCTAAATCGGCGAAACGCAATCAACGACCAGCGCCCTACAGCGGGAAGCCTCTCACCGCAGCCGCGTTGGCCAACCCGGCATGGCCCGGCGCGGCCGTTAATCAGGTTACGCACGGTAATCCAGCCCTACCATTGCCAGGACCAGCGCCCGCAATGGGTCTTGGCGGGGGTTCAAATTCGGCCGACGCCTTCTCAGTATCCGACGATGGAGCAGATGACGATCCCGAAACAAAAGCAGAACGAGAACGCGAGAGGCGACAAGCGAACAACGCACGCGAACGCATCCGCGTTCGAGATATCAACGGCGCTTTCAAGGAACTCGGAAGGATGTGCCAGATACATTTGAAAACAGACAAGGCCCAGACCAAGCTTGGAATATTGCACCAGGCGGTACAGGTGATCACGACGCTCGAGCAGCAGGTGCGCGAACGCAATCTCAACCCGAAAGTGGCCTGCTTAAAGCGTCGCGAGGACGACAGGAGTCACGACGAACTTCCACGCCCACAGCAGGAACAGCAACAGCAATTGGCGGCTGCATTGCAGGGCGCGGGACCAGGAGTAGCTCTTCACCAAAGCGGCGTTCAGCTGGACACGACCGGCCAGGCGAGTCCTGGAGGACCCCACAGTGGCGGAGGACCTCCAGCATCTTGGCTTGACTACGGTCCACCTTCCGGTAGTGATAAACTGCCAATGGGCCCAATTCCTTCTCACCTGCCCCATGGAGCACATGATCCTACAGATGGCGCCGTCTAGGCTGCTCGGTAGTGAACTACTACCGGAGCTGCTGAAGTTGCCAAGACAGCGAATCTGTTTGCAACGGAAAGGATCAACCTTGTCCGAGGTCAGTCGAGATCTCAAAATGAGATGTAAATGAGCATCAAATATTGCGTGTTGGCCACAGTTATCCAGATTGCAGAAAACCGTGAGTACACAATTTTCTTCCTGTTTCTCGCTTCTCTATAGAAGACATGGTGGTTTGAAGAAATGGGAAGGGTAATTGACGAATACGGTGAAAGAAAGCGTCTGGCCTCGACCATCATACATATCCTTGCTGTGTACAATCATTTTGTTCGACATGTGCGTGGTTAAACGTGGCTAAATAACAAATAAGCAGAAACTGTGAATAGTTCGTGAATAGTCCAAAGTGTACATAACAATAAGATCTACATATAGTGAGGTGATTATTGCATGTCAACGAGGAAATGCATCGACACATCTGCCCGCTCCGAGTCATCTCGACAGATACAGTTAGTTCTACTTTGGCTACGAAAAAAGGAATCAATCATTCCAACCTAATTTTCACTTTGAGGTTGCCAAATACAAGCTGATGGACTAAGCGGACTTTTACACTCGACCACACTAGTCAGGACAAGCTAAATCTGACGAAGGGATACTGGTCATATAACAAGCAACTACTTGTTACAAATCATTTGTTTGCCGACAAGTAAACGATGATTCTTCGTTCGCCACGCACTCAATCGCGCGACCACTATTAACAAGAGATGATGTTCTGGCAAATCCACTAGTTTCGACGTAAATAGCAACGTTCCCTCAAGCTTCCCACGAGTCTACGTTCAACAAATATTCATCAGCGCTTTCACAGTAATGGGAGCCTTTTCACATTTTATCAGCAAGATGTGGTAATGACGAGTCATACGAGACGAAGACCACTCGTAATCATGAGCTGGTTGATCACGGCTAATGGCACAAATTCAGCAACCTGCTATTTTTTGTCAGTGAGGAGCTGGCTCAAGATATTCTGTATATCTCACTTTGAAACAGCGAAACGCCTGTAAGGTCTTCACAATCGATGAGCATATTGATAGAACAACATATATATATATATATATATATATATATATATAGACTGCAGGAATTATACATTGTGCGCCGTGGCTGTTGCAGATATAAGCAAGTGCTTGCGTTAACATTATATAACACTTTCGAGGCCACTTCGCGCGCTGCGTTCCGGAAGCAGGCAGTGTCCTTATAGTAATTCCTAATTTGTAACTATCTGGAGGTTCGGCTGTTATAGCAAGCGAGCTCCGGAGTGAGGAACTAATGTCTTCCGACAAAATACCAGTTCTTCCAACAAATGCTGTCTAGCGACGCGCGTCTGCCGGTTTCCGTAAGGCATATTATTATCTAGTAATGGTCAAAACGCTGCAACACACTGCCATAACAAGTAGATATCAGCTCGATGGATCCATCGTTGAGAACCGATTTCACATTAGAAGCCTCCGTTGCTAATGAGGCGTTATACGGAGACAGAGTAACGGTTACTCTGTTCGACCAAAGGCTCTTGAGGAATAATAATAATAAGGATCATAATGATAAATAAATGGTCTGAGAAAATTGCAATTGTCGGCAGACTTTCAGCGTATCAAAGCATATCAAAGCGTGCCTTCCAGATAATGACCATCGAACATCTTCAGTCTGCAGGATTCCACACCTGAGCAGAGATAGCGTAAATGATCATAGTTGTAGCATTGTCTCTATTCGATCACTTTTGATGGTAGACATTGATTATAGCGTTGTACCAGATAGAGGACCAGACTCGTGCGGTGACACTACGAACGAAGTTGGCACAGCAGAAGTAATAAAAACAACACTAATAATCAATGGACCAGCGTGTCAATCATGCTATCGTGCTGTAACAAGTACAACAACAACAACAACAACAACAACACTATAAACATACTTATATATAACCTAGATGTCGCACGGTTTTTAAATAGCCGATTAATTAATTAATTAATTGATTGATCGATCATGATGATGGTGATTATTATTGGTTTATTGAAAATATGTTACTCCTACTGAGGGCATTATTAGTACTGACAACCGCTTTGCTCAATATTGTTTCCAATCCATTGTACAAGTCACATTGAATAATGTAGAAAAATTTCAGGAGGTAACTTGCAGTGAGATGGCGACGTAAATAGTGCTATCCGACATAATTTAAAAGCGCCAACAGCGCCACGACAATCCTCATGAGAATTTTAAATTTGAATATGGCGCGAAAAACTTGCCGAATCGTACGATCGGTATTGAGATGACTTCCAGCGACCACGAATCAATGTATACCTCACCGAGCAGAGCTATTGTCAAACATATGATTATTTTGCAACGATGCGAGTTGACGTTAGCCCAAACGGATATACGCCAGTGAGACCATGTTCGGCTTTGATTCCTTCGATGCAATCGAACACAGTAAATTTCCTTGCTTCTCAAAAGGGTCCTCTCTTCGGTGGACCTTTATTCCAGTACTTTAACAGGCGCTACAAAGATTGACACATTAATCTATAGTAGGTCTGTGGCCGTTTTCTGCATCGACTAATAGCTGGACGGCCGGAGTGTGTGACACATTTCCAAGGGAACTTCTCTATTTAGCAGGCACATTAATACTTAAGCAGAACCACACAGGCGGGTGGCAACAATGGCGTTACAATTGCTCGTTTGTGCTATACGATCAAATGAAAAGCGACTCATGTTTTCACTGCGGCGCAGCTTCTTTTGACGATTCTTGCCATTGAAAAAAACAGCAATCTTCGCTACCCGCCGTGCACATAAGATTAATAGAATCCTTTACGAGCTATTCAGAGATCAAGTTGATACTGTGACATCTACTAGAATACACGACCGTTTTTTTCGCGTGGTCTGGAGTTGTTATTATAATAACGATAATAATAGTTATTATTATTATTATTACTGAAGGTATTACAGCCAAATAGTATTATTAATATCGTATTATTGTCGTCATACTATTGTGGGGTGAGACCTGTAGGAATGCGCTCTTTTAGAGACTACTTGAATAGCATTTATTGGGGAGAGATGATTTTTCCCACAATTTATTTGAACTCGAAAAATTGATCTCAGATACTTTTAAATTATCATAGGTGTTTATGGCCCAATGAATAATCTACGAAAAGGCGAACAAATGAACCATTCAAGAGCAGACTACTTCAGCTCTAAACGACTATTACCGAATGCAACAAGGCTGTAGAAGAAAATGAATCTATACAGGCCACACCAAAGGGATATTATGAGAAGTGTTCCGTAACCCTATATCTATGTTAATGTGATTGCAATGCGACAGGTGACAGTTGAATCAATGCACAAACGATTACACGCAGCGTGATTATCGATGTCTTTTGACGCAGACAAGGGACACACATTTCGAAACAGAAAAATGGAAAAAAAAAAAAAAGAAAAAACTGCGTAACATCAACACGGACATGGATAACAACAGTAATAACAAAATTGCTGGATTTTTCTAGCCACGCTAAGGCTAATCTGTATACCTAAACGTCAACCTAGTTTGAGAAATTTTGTTGTCTTGTGATGGGAGCGGTGGATTTTCGTTAGGCAGTAACGAACAAATGTCAGACAAGTCTTAGGTGACTTAAAGCATACCGATAATTTCCCTGGATTCCATCATAATATTTAAAAGCGCTAAACGCATCTGTAGCCTTTACGTCAACGGCCATCAACAGTGATTAGAAAAAAGCAGATACATGAAATGGCGTAAAAATTAATTGAATCAGAGGGATTTCGGGTACCTGCGCAATGAAGGATACGGGTGGGATTTCGAACGTCCAACGTGTGTTGGAATCGACGTATTTCGATCGAATGTAAGAACGAGAAACAACTAAACGCTTGCAGTTTCGACAAGAAATAATGATACAACGATTACATGGTGTAATGAACGATGTGAACTTCGACATGTAAATAAATGCTCAAAATGCATTTACGTATATATATTTTTATAAAATGATGGCGTGTTTTTCCTCTATTCTAATCCTCTAGGAGTGTTTGCTGCTACATGAATATGGCCGTAATAACTGTTGTTCTAAGATATCGTCAAAGACAGGTATGCTATGTGTTTCGTATTTGAAAAACTGAGATAAAATCTAGGTTTTTTCTGCAATAATACGAATGCGACAGGGTTGAAGGGAAAAGACACAGAATTTCCGATGCGTAATTTGATTCAAAAAGCTATTTAAACGACTTAATAGAAGGAGCAACTATGGTTTTGGCGGTCAATTTCGAATGAGAGAGATTCTAGAAAACACACGTAATAAATAGAAATATAGCTTTATTTCATCATAACGTTACATCGTATTCTTTTATCTGCATTCGGATTCAATAGACTGAATATTCTTAAACTTAGAGATCGTTTGAATAGCGTCTTTTTTTTTTTGTTTTTTTTTTTTCAGAACAATTTAATAAACACATAGATCTTTTTTCACTTAATAGTTAGAGTGAACATTTTAACTAACAAGTCAATTACGACAATTGTCGGATGTCGGATCGGCACCAATGTCAGTAAGAATAAGGTGACTAAAACTGGGTAGAGCCAAACGTCAGCAACTTCTGTTAAGTAATCAAAAGTAATAGAACAATTTGACTTAAGTCACTCCGAGAAGTTTTCCGCCTTCGATAAAATTCGAGTAGATACATTTAACAGACTCTGATGTGCGTGTTTTGCTTGCACGATTTATGCACGTAAACAAGACAAGGTACTGGACACTAGTGATTCCGATCGTACTAGGAACCTTGTGGAAGTTTGATCTTCCGATTCAGTCCGACGGCTGGATAAAATATCAGACAACATCGAACATTTAAAATAACGTAGTGATCCTTTACCAGATAGTCAGAGAACGATCGGAGAAGCTAAAATTTGAGTTACTCGTTGCGCTATCATAAATATATCCTGAGGTGAGCAGTATCTCTTAAGCAAAACGTCCGTACTACCTATATTGACTGCTGGAGCATCAGACGCTACTTCAGGTTGTAGGTCATGGATACTATAGAGACAATGATAATAGTGACCTTTAAACGAGATCAGTTCCAATTCGGCAGGTTACACACAAGGAGCCAGCAAATACAGCTGTGATACTATTTTATTTAGGATGGCTTGGTACAAAGTAGAAAGTAAGTTACACTAAAACTTACAGAGATGTATTTCAAAATCCTGTGAGCAACAAGGTGTCAACAAAGTATTAGCAATAAAGTCAGGTTAAATACTGAATGCACATCCCTAACATCAGCAGCTTTACTTTGTCTTATTAGTTTCGATTCGAATGTTGTCGCAAGACAGCCCTGAACATCCAACAACTATAAACTCTTGATTTTGTTGTACCTTACCACAATAATTATGTCAGGCTTCCAGTTGGCTGAAGTCAAACAGTGACAGCGTCGTTGTTGTCGATGATGATGATCGCGTTCGTATTGTATCAGTAGAGGCAGGTCCGTTTCATGATACGTAGGAACTCCATCTCGCTGACCAATCCATCGCCATCGTTGTCGGCTTCTTCGATCATCTGCCGAAGTTCTTCCTCCGATATCTCAGCGCCCAGTTCATTAGCAACTCGTTGAAGGTCTTCCAACGAGATCATTCCTGCTCACCATATACACCAGTGAGGGTCACGCGATGAGATTGAATGCAGCTTAGGGTTTATACATATAAGCATCGGACTTTCTCATGCTACGTTTCCCATGAAAATCGTTAGAATTACGCTGTTAAGGTTTGAGGTCATTAGCTAACGAGTAATGAAGATAATTGTCTACAACGAATGAAGGACTCACACAAAATGTAAATATTTCAACTTGTTAAAGCAAGACCGCATCTATAACAAGCCGAATGCTCTTCAAACATTGCAACCATTCCTTGCATCCAGCTAGTGTATGAATACGAGGTCTAGACAAATTGAAAGCTTTAGAGCCTTTATGTATGTTGTAGTAGTAGACTCTGCCAACAACCTATGTGTGAGGCCCCTGGGTCGGTAAACATCCTTGCCTGTATTGCGTTCGTCGAACAGTTTGAAAGCCTTTAACGTCTCATCGTTGGGATCCTCGCGTAAACGAGTCCGTATCACCTCCTCAAATTCGGTCAATGTTAACTGCAATGGATGGAAAAAAACGTTTATATTAATTTACTTTTAGATGGGAGCAAAATTAGTTCCCTGACCATAAAAGCGATATTTTATTATACCTTATTTGGTACATACGTGACATGCAGCCTAAGATGCACCTTCTTGTTTCAGTTTCATTACTGAGGCATTTATTTCACGGCTCTTTGTTGACCTTATAAACAATAGGAATTAAAAAGCGGGATCAATGAACTTCTATACGATCCTTCGTATATACAAGCGTTTCACGCAGGAATGACTTACGTTTTCTTGGGTGTTTCTTTTCAAATAAGCTGTAAATATGTTTTAAGCGAAATGAAAACTTGAAGTCGTTCAACTCGAGACGTTTTTTTCGGAAAGGAAGTAGTTCAATAAAATATGTAAGCCTATTATTAATGTGTTTTTCCTGTTTCATAATAGGGGTACCGCCATAAACTTATCGTGACATATAATGTTGTGAACTAGAAAATTACAGTTAAAGATTGCTTACGCTGTAAATACATTTTACGAGCAAATAAAACGGAGCTTCAGCAGTCGCAGAGATTCTATATAGTTTCTCCTTGTATACAATACCGATCAAGCCGTAGCTATAGCCGGCATAGGCAGCAGTAACTGGCAAGCGGCAAACCTGATCTTAGCTTAATATATGTCAAATTTCTTCTGGCATCCTATTATGCAGAAAAACTATATGAGTATAGATCAACTCGAATTGAGCTGTTCATCCGGGACGAGAATTCGCACCGTATATGTATTTGAGGTACATACACAAATACACAAATGAAACGTAATTTCACAGTTTTTTGAAGTATCGATCGCTAACACATTGACGAAGGATCACCAATCTATCTCAACTGGGAAGCAGTATGGCTTGGTAGAAACATGTCTCGTGGGCGAAACTGAATTAATTAGCAAAGCCTCTTCAGCAACGCGTACTGCTCAGTGGTTACATAACGTACCCTTGCTTGCGGTGAGTCTTGTTTTCCAAGTTCCGTCAGCAGCTTTTTTACCTATCGTAAAAAAAAAACGAACATGGTGCAATTTCATTATTCCATCAAGCATCACTCGAAATTTTCATTCACTGCTAGGCGGTTATTTTTCTAGCAAGGTTCGCATTTACTCCAAGCGTTTTTTTTTCTATTACCTCTTCTTTGCGTGGCTCTAAACCGAGGGCTCGCATGGCAAACTTAAGTTCCTTCGCAGGCAGACCATCGCCATTGCGGTCAAACATCGCGAAGGTAGCGCGTATCTCCTCAGGTACAACGCTTGTCCTTTCTAACGACTTTTTTCGTTCCAAGCCATCACTGTCTTCGACCATCTTCTCCATACTGTACGACAGCCCCACTCGATCTACCGGGTAAAAAAACATGACGATTTAAGTCTGCTTTCTGCAAGCGGAATAAGGTATGGAAAGGTTTCAGTTTTCTTTCTAGTTGACTAGGCGGAAATCAAGTTCCATCTCCACCATGCTTGCAAAATACTTGGTTCAACTATTAGGACCTGCGGATTCATGAGTAAGATAGATAGAAGGAACGCAATGATATTAAAAGATACTAATCGCTGGCATTTACTCTGTCGTTGTTCTCAGCGAAGCATCGTCCTATACACGGAAACTAGGCTATTTTTTTTCTAAGATCGAACTTTTTCTACCGGTTAAATGTCACATCGTGGATCTTGATGATTTGTCGTAACCGAGTTATGTATCAACCGAGTATCAATTGTTCCTTGCGCACGTTTTACAAGTTCTGTTAGGGAGGTGTTTAGATACCAAAGTAACTTTGCCTGCATTCACTTTTCACTAACATTTCGTAGTTGGCAGGCTGGACACAAAAGACCTGTAACGTAGCTACGGCAATAGCTTCACCGAATTGAGCTTTGACGCGTTACAATGATCACGTTATCATTCAAAATAAGGCCAACGAGTACCCTATTGGGTCTTGTGATGGTCATTGAGCATCGGGTGAGGTTTCGTCTCGCCCCGGAGCAGTACAATTTTTAAGTGTCTATTGCTAGCCATTGATTTCCATCACATCATGGGTATTGATCGCTGTTTACACAGTCCATAGCAGTGCTTCGGACAGATACTACGGAACTGAAAGTTGAAAGGATTTTTTTGTTCCACTCGACCACACATAGGCTACATCTCCAAAAGCGACCAATCCTCACACATCAACCAGAGCACCGAGGGCAAATCGCATAGTGCGCTTGGTACAAGGGTTTTTCTGCACTGATTATTTATTTAGTTTACTAATTGACATAAGGCTCGAGAATATCAGTCGGAACATAAGGTCTCAAAATCCTGGAAGCTTGATAGCTACAGCAACCGAGTTGTTCTAGCATATTAATACCTGTTTGAAACGTCACTGGACGTATTACAGCTGAGGTTTTGCTGGTTTCTAATCTTTTCAGTTGAAAAAAATCATGTGCACATGTTGCTCACAGCTGTTTCGAGGATCGCCGGCTTGTTATTAATAACACAGATCACTGAGGGAATGACAAAATAGAAACCAGCAGCTGAAGAGAGACAGCTGTGTGAGCGGTCTCAAATTAGGCCAACAAGTGTACACGAACACGGTATGCTTGCTTTCCTTTCGAAACGGCCGAGGTCAACCTCGTCACATTCTACCAGCCGATTCGCAGGTAAGCGAAAGGGTTCTTATTCGCTACGAATGATGTTTTTCTCGGGGCTTACCTTCCACTCTTCTCGATTTGCCCTCTCCCTTTGGCAAAACGATCGAATTCTGACTGAGCAGAGTTTAACGGGGGTTCGAAAACGAAAGCGTGGTCACGCTAAGCGAAAAATTAAAAGAACTTCATATGTACAAAGCTAAATATATCCGGTTAATATACTTTTCAAATGAATAACTTTATTAGGGAAGTGAACTAGTGTTCGGGATAGGTGTAGGAGATAATTTGGATAGGAGAACACAATTACGGAAGTTGTTGATGAACTGTCTTCAAGTTATATATAGCATAGATACAATTGTATTAGTCTGAGTCATTTCGATTGCACAAAATATTCGAAAAAATGTCTGTACTTGAGGACCGATTTAACGTACGAGGTAATCTATATGCGTTTTATTAATATTTGTTTCACAGCGTTGACCTTTCGTCTCTTCTAAACATGTTTCACACACTGGCTCGGTATGGTAGTTCACTACGTGCGGTATACACCGTTCTTACTGTTAGTGTGCCGCAATAGAGTAGAAAAGCATGCCCTAAGTTTATTCTAATAAGTAGAAATACAGGATTTCTAAATTATTCTGAAGCGTATTTGCGGTAAAGTGATTCAAAGTATAATTTAACACCTATTGCCATGTAGCTTTGTCCCGTCACGAGTCGGAATGTAGCAGTTCGCCATTAGCGATCACGTTAGCTGGATATAGATTTGTACACAATTAGTACGATCATTAACTCCAATGAAAACTCTACTAGATGCCCATTTTGATCTTAGAAAGACGATGGCTCCATATTTACCAAGGATATTTGTTATAGTAACGTGTCTATGACATCGTAAAAACTTCAGTACTACACACTTTCAGCTAATTCATCACATCGTACGTTGGCAATAATGTCTGCCAAGCAATTATATTGGCACAAACGTAACGGGTGATGAATAAGTTTGCCTGGCGGTTGCGACGTCGAAGATGATAAATTTCTTTTTTACTGTTGTTTTGCTCACAATAATTCGGTCGAATCGAACTTTCACACGGTTGCAGCTGATGCGTGATCGTAGATGGATAGCGAACTTCACGTTAACCGTCCGCGCGTTTACCGCCCGCGCTTCACAAGTTCCATGGTCGTGCGGTAGAACACCTCATTAGATAGATGTACATACGTGCAGTTCATCGTCGTAACGGAAGTCTAGAGGCCCACGTCTAAGGACTTCTCCCAGGGACCAGCCACTTGCTAAAAGGATCAATCAAAACAACACAGCTGTCAAGAAATGTCAGTATATTGATGTGCTGGCAAAAACGTCTGATTGGTTTTTCTTAGCTTTTCAGAACAAGAACAATCGAGAAGATAAAAAAAAAATTCCTGATTCCAGCACCGACACAGCCAAAGCACTTCATAAGCAACGCATCGTCGACGTCTCTGCGACGACGTTTAACAATCACTTATAAGGTGTATATATATATACAATATATATAGGGTAATATATATATTAACAAGTCGACCACTTTAAAAAATATACGTTTGAATCAGAGAGATGGTGGAATCTATCGAATCATCGAAAAAACATCGAAGGCCAAGACGATCTTGCTTCCGTTGCTCGGTTCGTAGACTGGTTCATTCCGAGCAGTTATTACTGCACGTTCTGCCCCTCTGAGGTACTAGAGCATTAAAATAAGCCAAACTAAAAGCGTGACACAGACTCCATATTGTTAGGATTATGTAGTTAATTGTCAGGTTTCCGTGTTTTATCGTGTGTCAACTACGTGTTGAATGAGTGAGTCTTCAGTTACCGTTCACTACTACAACAAATCTATTTGTTTCAGAATGATGTTATGGCACAAATTGCGCAGTTCTATCTTAGCAATTTTTCCGCCGTAAACGTGTATTATGAAGTCATTTTTAGATGTCCGTGTGGTAAGAAGAGGCATGCCGGTTTCGAGAAATGGTAATTCATATGTTATATGGCCATTTTTATGGCCAACTATAGGTGATCATTTGCCATTTTTAGCTCTCAAACGAACTACATGATTATCAGAAAATAGTTTTCTGCCTGGGATAAATTATGTTTTGCTTTCCGTAAATCTATTCGCAGTTGTGAGTCTGCTGTCTCTCAGCAGGGCGCACGGCAATTTTCTAGCTGTCCCATATGTAAAAGGCTTAATTTAGGGCACTCGCAGTCCTAGATTTCACAAAGCGATTCGCTCCATGATTTGATCGTCATCAATTGCTAACAATGACAGAAAAAAACACTTTCTTCATGCCCGAGTATACACCGCGGTTGTTTCGTTTTCCAAAAACACTACAACAAGACCAGTTAGTTACTTCTGTGGGATTAGTTGCTGACGTCAACGTTATTCGATCTAAGCTCCACTGTTTATTCTTGCCCTGCCTGAAACCGACGAAGTATCGCACCCCCCCCCCCCCCCCCCCGCGCCTTTACCGATGAGAAGTGCATTAATCACAACGGGTCACGCACGCGATGACGGTGGGACCGACAGTAGCGACCGACGCAATCTCATGCGAAGTCATATACAAATAAAGTGGTTCTCGGCTCCGTCCTCCAGCTAAAACAAAAATGCCGAAAGCAATGCCAGTTTTGCCATTACCGAAGGAGTCCCTGCTAGCACAGACAATGAAAAAAAACAACAGATGGCACCGTTGACAGCCAAAGTAAAAACCGGCTTCTTGTTTCAACATGTAGTATTTTGCGTCGATTACGGCAATGAGCGATTTCATAAAAAAAGAAAAAAAAAATTTGCCACGTTCAGCAGTGGTCCTCAGTTCCCTCCTAACCTGCGGGTCTGAACGGTGACAATGGCTAGGCACGATGTGGGCATTCACGTTTGCCATCGCCCTGGTTACTAAAGAGTCCTAGTTCAATCCGTAAGTAGTTTGATGTAGCTTCAACAAATCCTCTAGGCTGATTGGAGGCAGTGTGAAACGTTTCCAATAACAACTGGTAGCGAAAGCTAACATCGTATTGATACGATATCCATGTTCTTGGCCGAAATTTAAGCACATTCGACAGTCCGCCCCACATATAGAAGCCCACCAGCCGATATATACAGCAATAATTTTCTCCTTGGGTTAAGACCTATGAGTGCATGATATTTCCTTAATTTGCGGCTGTAATTTCAGTACATTGCGTATAAGAGATGCGTGCTACTGTTTCTTCTTTTGGCAGCTTGGTCTTTTATTTCATTGCAAACTGATATTTTAAATAAGATCAACGAGGTATGACAATAAGGTTGTACGAGAACTCTAAAGAAAATCGATGGCTTTTTGAATTCGTCAAGAAATTCTATTTTCGATTATTCGATTTTTTTCACCGTTGACATCGTCGTTCAGCGTTTCATTAGAGAGCTGGCTTCCAGCACGAAACGAAAGGTGTCTATGCTCAGACTCGAACCTGGACCATTACGTCGCTTTGAAACGCTACGAGTCTAAGGTAGCACTTTCAACAGCAACGCTGCTCTTTTGGACGCTCAGCATAGTTTAGCCGACCTCGTAGAAATATTCAATAGCAGACAAACGAGTATTGAGGTGGACAAACTGTCTACAACATTGGCCAATTTCCTAAAAAATAAGTATCAAACAAAAAAAAAAAAAGAAACGAGCTAATACAAAACCATCATCTTCGTCGGTCAGCGCGTACGGTCAGTTAGGCAAGGGGGAATTACGGCTGCACCACTAGGGCAGTTTCAGATCGCTTTGTGACGAAGCCAGCGCTAGACTCTGCCTTCTTACCCAGGGAAACTTTCGACTCTCCATCAGACGGCCAAGTAACATAGATGGACGGTGCGATTTAAGCAGCTCACGTCTGATATGCAAGTGTCAGACCGATACGTGGGTCTTGTAAAAGCTGTAAAGCACTTCTCACAATAGTTTTATAGTTTAAGCTTGCTTTAGAGTATACATAATCTTGCTAAACATCAATCCGATTACGGATATCCTATGAAGATAGCAGTGTCAACTTTTTAAGCACTTGTCGATGTAGAGCAATCGCTACAAACGCATAGAACGCCCTATCTTTGTAGTCGTTTAGTAGGACCTGTAGAAATTTTTATGCGAAAAGGTGAAACTTGTGCTACCAAGTTGATAAGTTCTTAACTCAATAAAATTCTATCTAGTGGCAAACTTATTAAACAATAATGGTACTCAAACACGCAAATAATATACGTGGTAACATCTTCTGGCGACCTGCAGACCTGGTGACTTTACCAAGGAGTAAAGGCTTTGTGCATTAACTAAAGAACTCTAGTAATAATAGTGACTATATAGACGGATACAGAATCCATATTTGAATTGGTACGTACCGGTAGGCCGTCCGTTCGCAGAGCTGGGACCATGCCCAATTAAAAAAATGGCGTGCTCAAAAACATAGGGAGAACTCCACAGGGATACGCAAACAGTTGAAGGTATTTTTAGGATTCCCTATAAGGTTTCAATTAACGCGCAACGGAAGGACCGATGTAAAGTTAAATTAAACGTAGGGTGACAGGAAAATGTTTCGTTTCATAAATAAGTAGAGATATTCCAAAAACGTCTAGGTGTCGATCACTGAATGTACGCTTCACTTGACAAGTTGTATTGATACAAATTACTGATGCTACTAAAGTCTTTCATCTAAAAGGTATCAAATCTGTTTTTATCGAACTTTAAATATCCGGCTACTGACCTCGTTTTCGGGCTAGTACGGAAAGGAAACTTGCTAAGTTAAGTTAGTTGAACGCAGAATTGCACACATTTACACTCACTCCTCTCGTATACTAAATGAGTTCTGTCTTAAAAAAACACACTTTAAGGAGATTCTGCCTCAAATGTACGCTATTTTGTGCCGACCAAGTTAATTTAAGTATGGCTGATAGAAACAATGACTAAAACGTTCAACGACTCTCGTGAACCTTGTAGTTTATTGATTTTTTTTTGTTAAATCTGAGTGACAAAGACCAGAGTTAGAATTTCCCGCTTGTGTATCTAGGGGGGTTTGCTCTCCAGAAGTAATTGCTTTGTCAGATTATAATAGCAGCATGTGTTAGCGGCACTGGTGGTTCGATATTGGCAAAATGTCATCAAAATACAGGAGGCTTTCTGAAGCAGTCGTAAGTTTCAGGTTCATAAAAATATTTTTTTCAAAGCGTTCTTTCCGCTAAAAAGGTGTCAGACTCGATTGTGTATGTAACAGCGCCAGCACCAACTGCCCCATGTGCCTCAGTCACAAAGGGGCAAAGATGCGCATGCCGTTAAGAAGACACTGACCAAGAGCGATTGTTTAGGTTTACCCTAGGTACCCCCTAGGTACCCCCTAGGTAAAGCTACTTAAACGTCTTAAGCTGTTCAATTCGTTTCCTTCATTATACAGATTTGTTAGCCACCCCTTTTTTTGCTACCGACGAGCATTTATATATAATGACATTTTAGCAGAATAGCGTCTGACCTGTCATAAGGCCTATCTGGATGTTAACAGTCCAATGGCATCCTATTAATGCATTTGCCATCAGAAGAAAAAACACTGGACAGGAAAAACGTTTAGCTCAGCAAATGCGCATTCAGTACGATCACCGATGAAGCGAAAAACCTGTTCATTTTTCGAAACCGCTTTTTAAAAACCTGTAACATATTAGATACACTAGAGACACATTCTCTTTAACTTATGTTTTTTTTTTTTTTTAAGCTAAGATACTTATAGTTACTCGATTCTCCTATTCATGGAAATAGCAAAACACAGTAAAATCATGTTCGGCATTCAGGAAGCCTATCGTTGCTCCAAATATGAAAACTGAATGATAACAGGCGGTTATTCTGAGGACAAAAAAAAAATGGCATGCAAGATCAACATACATACATACATACAACGTTGTACGTTTTTAATACCATATATATTTGCGTCGTACGCTAAAGCAAATCAGTAAACATAAAGGAGACACACCGACTTAGTGCCTTTGGCATCTCGGTGTGAACTGTATGACCTGTAAACTAATTTTTACAGTATGATTGTTAGTAACGCTGCCAACGAACTCCAACATATTGAAGCGTAGTAGGAGGTAATAACGAGTGGCAATAGCAGTATCAATCAGAAACAACTAAGAATCGTCAGCGGCCTTTGGAGGAAGAAAGTTCATTTGTAGGTAACACTGTATATTGATTCATTTGTTGTGGTATTGAACAATAATAACATATGAAGTTTAGATGGTGAATCAATGAAGTCGGGAAAGAGCGCGTTGAAGCTAGATGCTTCTCCACCCGTTGCCCAATATCGTCCATGTGCCACTTGCTCGATGTAAACGATTTAGGTTACGCTAATCGACATTTCCTTATACAACCTTAAAAAGATGTCGCAGTTCTCTTGATCTGAAAAAGTCAGTGATAGTCCAGCTTCGAACCGAAAGTTTTGATTGGAGTTAAAATAAATATTGGAGGTAAGTTGATTATCATCCTACTCTAAAAGATGCTTTTGTTTTGCTTCTATATCTTTTGCATGGTTTATACCGTATGATATATTTTTCACAAAATATTAAATCTAGCCTTATTGCTATTAAATTAAAGTCATTTTTTTTTCTTTTTATTATATGGAGCCCCTTAGTTTAAGAAGAGAACATAAATTGTCTATATGTACTTCAGGAATTTGCTATATCTTATCACACGACAATTAAAAGCTAATTAAGGCCGCATTAAAGAAAAGGAACCTCATGAGGATGAAAACATTTTAACGCGGCAGGACTCACGAAGGATTCATACTTTGGTGTCCGTCGACATATTTTCATATAAGAAACGCCACGGTTTAAGAAGCGTAGTAACATATAGTTCCTTTAAACGTTCATAAACTAAAACTCTCAGATGTCTACGAACAAGTAGCTTTTCCAAGTTCCAATCCTACAACATGTTTCTTGTGTTCTCATTTATGAGTATATTGTTACTGGAATAAGTCAAAGGGTTACATATCTCTTGGCAAGATGTGTAGGCCTTTGGGTGAATAAATTAAATATAGAGCGTGCGCCTATATATTGGAAGTTATATGTGAGTTGTATTTAAATGCATCAACTTGGAGAAAGCTATTTCTACATTCGACGCTTTTGGTCATTTTATACACCTTAGTCCATGGCTGTAGTTGCTATAGAAATTGGTGCTCACAAAACCGACAAGTTTAAAGTTCAAAGCAATCGTCATAGAACAATATGATGAACTTTTTGAAGTTTTGACGGAGAAAAATGACGGGGGCCGGATTCACGATTGCGTGCACACTTGATGTTCTTCCATTTACTTGTTCGCAACCTAACCTCCTTTGATTGGACCATATTAGATAATGCCTGTGATTCGTTTTGGGTCAAACATTGACTACACTCTATGGTTTGTCTGGATGTATTTGGAAGGTGCACAAGCTCTTTCCTTATTTTAAACCGTTATATGTTAACAGCTAGTTAGCCGATCGTGATAGAATTACAATCAATCGTTATAAGATGGTTGCTTTCCTTAAATTTTTGTCGCTTAGGTGTTTTACGGTACTTCGTGCGCACTGCCATAAATAAATAATAATCTCGGCAGTTTTTCCAACAAGCCAACGCTCACACCAGACGTTAAACAGGTTTTTTGAGCTGGCCTTATTTTAAGGACCGATGAGGCTTATATGAGCTTAGGATCCCGGGTTTACAATCTGTGTCGTATATATGCAGTGTTATGAAGATCGTTTGTTGTACATTCTTGAAATGCTGGCGAAGAGAAAATGTTTGCACTCAAAAGTACTCTTTTGTCTAGCCAAATCACGATGACCAAATTTGCCATTTTCGAAGAGATTCAGGGAAAGCCTATTGATTCCGAGTCCAGTTCTCAGATTGGCAGTAACAGGTATTTTCACCATCAGATTTGACTTTGGCTGGAAGCAACTGCATTATGTCTTTTGCAGAGTCGACAAATAGGGTATAGACTGATATTAACTGGTATTCGGTTATTAAAACAGCAGCGCCCAGTGTCCCAAAACGGCCCCAACTTTTAACGGTGCGGAGCACATCCGAATATGACACTGATGACAGTTTTGATGTGTGCAGCTTCATCTTGCATCGTACTGCTAGATACTGTTATTTCTCTGGTGTTTTCCTTCTCGCTAGTATGCCCTGAGGTGGGAAGTTTTCAACGCTTACAAACAGCTCCTATTAGGAAGGGGCTCCAAATATTCGCTAGCAGATGTTAGGGGTTTTGTTGCTAGCCGGCCAAAACCCATCGTCGTACGATCCTATTGTGTAACATAGCGTCACGTTTTATGCTAAGTTTTGCGCGAATTATCGTATAAGCAATATCAGCTTCCCGTTGGCTAAATAGGTGTTTCGTGACTTCGCTATTACTTTGGGGATGCAATAGCGAGTAGCGGACTAGCTGGACGGATGACCTGTATTCAACCCGTAAGATTCCGGCCTGACTTGAAGAAACTTGGCAATAATTTAAACACTCCTAATGAGGTCCTAGACAGAGGCCGAATCAGGTTTGTTTCAACTTCATCATTGAGACCAACTTTATACAGTTATAGCGTATCAACAGAGCGATTGAAAAAATGAACGTGTCCTTCTAGAGGTTTCATTTGCTCGAGTTGATACATCTAGTGCGGTTATGTCTGTCTTCCGAACTTCGAAATCGAAACAAGGAATCAGCTAGATGACAAAGATGCAACCGCAATGTCTGGTTTTGGTGATTGCATTAGTTAATATTTACAACACGGTTGTTCAGATATTTTGGGAAATCAATGATGTCAATATATAAGTATCTGGCATGGCCATATTATTCTTTTGAACCTTTTTTCTATCGCACTTTGATGTATGAAACTACACACGTCTAGTAATAGCAACAATCGTAACTACTGCATCAAACAAGGCACCCGTGCACCCTATGAACGTAAACACGTTGTCGTCCATAAGGGGTACAGGCAAAGTGGGTTCCATACAACAGGCCGGGTGACCGATGGCAAGGAACCTGGCATATATTACTTCACATCGGGCTTGACACTGCGCCTGCTCTTCTTGAGTTTTGGCCAGTGACTAAAGTCGGCCCAGTTATACCGTGGCTCCCGTAGTAATACGGTATTGATCAAATTCGAGCGGATTTAATATACGGAAGATAAAGGCTAAGACCCAGCTGCGAGTTAAAGCCTTCTTTTAATTCGATTTATACATTCCTATTGAACTAATAATGGGACATGGCTGAGTCAGGTACACCGATATGATTGGGTATCTTTCGTAAATAGCGCGGATGCCTGCCTTTCGATCCATCATTTTGTAGGATGTGGTTGAGATTCGTTGGAAATCCAGTTTTTCTTGCTTTTTTTTTTACTAAATAAATTTATTAGGCGTAATTAAATCGGGAACTTATATTTTTTCTACTTAAAGACAATGTATATATATATATATATATATATATATATATATATATATATATATGTCGTATTGTAGTTTAACGAAAATGAGCCATTTGGTATCTATTTCAACTCCAACAGTTTGTGCTTATTTTTTATTGTTATCATTAATATTGAAATTATTATTGACGTTAGCTAACGTGTTAGCAGAACCCCAATGCAAACGTATTCTGTGTCGCATCCTGTGTATGCTTAAAAAATTATTGAAACTACCTTTCATTGACAATATACGTAATGTAATGAAGTGTAATGGCTACTTTTGACACATTTCTACACCTATCCTTGTCAAATTACCCATACATCAGGTTGTGTTATGGAAGCAATAGAAAAAGTATGTCTAATCTCATGTTTTCTTTGCTAATTTCAGCTCTTGACCTTCTTCGTGATGTTCGCTCTCTCGGTAAGGGCAGGATATGAAAAGAATTTTTAAAATTTTCGAAGGTTCTAAAAACGTGATAAGATTCAGTTAGCTGTTGGTATTGTTTGCTTCTTATCGACGTACTGTTCTTAAATACGCGTTAAATGTCTCTATGAGAAAAGTTTAAAAGAAAAAAACGTTTCAATGTTTGGTGTCTAGAAACCTGAGGTTTGTCAGAATATTACCTTACTTTTTGGGTAATTGTTGACTTCATACTTACTGAACAGAGTTCTATGTGCGCTTCAGGGTGAAGCAAGACGTACACACGCATTTAGATATATATGTGCATTTTAGTAAAATTATTCGAAGCAATTTTTAGTTACTGCTGTACCAGGATGAGAAGTGTGCGATACTTATGATTAGCAGATTCTAAAGATCTACGATATCCAATTATTTTTTGATCTATTTGAATTTCTAATATCCAGCTTATCGAGCAGCTATTTTTAATCAATTCGAAGATTTTTTTTTTGTATTTTCGGTTCATATCATTAGGCTGTCACAAGCGAATTCGGCGTATTTTGAAATTAAATGACCTTCGAGCTAGCAGACGAAATATGATTATTTTAGAAATTTGTTTGATTCAGTTCACTCGAGGAGAAATGCGTTTAGAAGAAGAAGAAGAAGAACCCTCTTTTAGTCTCGTAAATCATCGTTAAGTCGTTGTTCTGCGAAGGCTAACTATAGTACTTGCAGTGGACATCAGGGGCATCTGCTGGTATGAGATACTCGCCAACCGTTGACATGGAAATCTAAAATATGGTTACTTAATTACAACGCCCCACCTAAATGATGCCATAAATGACGTCAGTTACTCCCTAAATTGTGCAAAGGAATATCCAACGTTGGCTTCAATCCGTCCACTCTCCCGATCTAAATCCGTGTGATTATAGAGCTTCCCATGCCCTAAAAAGCGTAACTGGTGAACGAACATATTACAAATTAAATTGCAGTAACCTAATGGGTATGTATTTGTGTAGAATATGGATTATTACCTGAAATCGGTATACATAAGCTATTGATACGTTATGGAGTTTTATGGTTAAAACAGCATCATTCCCAATGGAACTTTGTAGGCATATTGCCTTTTTACATTTTTTGATCAAATCGGTTCCATAATCAACTTCGATACGAAATAATAGTTAAAAAATAATATAACAAATATTAGGCAAACATTCGTTTCTTTCTCTGGTGATCAGGTGGTGCTCCTGTCGCATCCCTACGCTGTACTTAGCCAGCATAGGGTTTACGGAGATCATGGGGCCTTAATGATCTCAAGCCCAAATCATAAGCCCAGACATATACTTCCATATAAAAGTCCCGCTTACATAGGCTCTTTTGGGACACAAAGGCAGCGGTATGCACATCCACAAATACCCCTGCGCGCAGCCCACCACAGCGATGGACCGTGTACCAATTACGTAGGTTTTAAAGATTGCATCTTCGTTCGCGTCTCGACATAGCCATATATACGAATGCGTAAGAATACAACAATTCTGAATTGACAAAGCCTTTCTAGAAAAATAATGAGTCGAAACCTTTTCTTTACCATAGAGCTATCTTTTGTATATGTATATATATATATATATATATATATATATAATTGCTATGTTGAATTAGGTTAAGAAATTGAACAACCAAATCTTAGGCGACAACTATCAGAGGAATTTAGGTTAGGTTAGGTTAGGATGTTTGTGAAGTCTGGTGGCACTTCGTACTTACTTTTTAGGTGAGCGACAACGGGGAGATCTCCATAGATGATAGGTCAAAACATCGCGTTCACCAGGGTGCAGTAGAACCCCACGGAAGTCCAAGAGGTTCAGGAAATGACGGTGATCATGAAAATGATCGCGCCTACCGCGTGTACTACAATCGGCGAACAAGTGGGCATCACGGAAGAGACGATGGAGCTTCGGGGAACCCTGATCTGGTTGGCCATGACGAAGGACATGCGGAAGAAGAACCATACGGGCCTTCAGAGCCCCACGAAGCTGATTATGGACCAAGACCGGATGGAGACCACAGATACGACATCCCCAATGAAATCGATTATAACGACTACTACGATGCACCACATCGAGCTTATGGCGGTAACTCTAATGAGGTGCGTTTTCTTTAGGAGGACGAAGAATCTTTTCTAAAACTGATTCAAGTAGCCGATACTATTAATTAAATTTTGTGTCAGAGGAGTCACTATCCCTGGTAGGACAGAGTCATTTCCTTTGCCAAAATTAGATTAGTGCGATCTCAACCCTACGGATAAATTGACTGTGTTTGAATACTTAGTCTTATGGTTCGCCAGAGGAATCTAGTTGCCATTTAATAGAATTACAAAGTTGAAAATTCTGGGTTTATTTAGTATTGGCGTAAGATACGTTTGAAAAAGTAAATCAACTAATACAGCTCTTTGTCATTGCACAAATCTCATTATTTAGCCTCTAGTGCTGTACAAAAATCTATCATAGCGATGAGTTTCATCAGTTAAGATTTATCTACACAAATGTATGTTGTTTAAACTGATATGAAAAGCATCCTTATCGGATGGATGGTGGAGGTCATCATGAAGGACCTCGACATAGCGATGGTATTTATGGCGACGAAGACCATGACGCTGGGCCTTCTGGCGTCTTCAACCATTGTGGAGGACATGAAAAAGACGATTCTCATAGAACAAGTGGATATGAGGGACCTTACCATGGTGATCATGGCAAGCATCGTGGCTACCATCAAGGGTAAGCTTTACCTAAGAGATTTAGTTCTTACAATTCACCTTTAGTTTACATATTTCTTGTAGAAACAAACAACGCTTTTAAAATTTTATGAAAGTTGGAAATGGATGCTTCTACATATACGCTCATGTATAGTACGCATCTGTGGCTAATATATTGTAATTGCTTTTCCACGACGTTTATAAAGCCTTTCTTATACTATTTTTTGCAAGGGAGCATATCAATGGAAGGATTCATTGACACTTTTTTAATGCTGTCGCTGCTATGACGTGCCGGTGAACTGGAATTATTTTCGCCTACGTTTTACATTAAAATGATTCTAAAAATAAGACGATAGTTTTACCTCGGTATCATTTTAGACAAAAAAGTTCCATCTATACATTAATTTGTATTGGTTAGTTCTTTGTAATCTTTTCACTATGCAGTCTTCTCATCTGAGTTATGGATTGTGTGGATCATTTAACTTACCTATGAACAGGGAACACCAGTCTGCCGGTGAATTTTGGCCACAATTCCTTCTGCGCTGAGTGTTGGGGATGACCATTATACCGGTCAACGAATTCTGAAGAAGATCCCTTTTCCAAACGTGACTTCTTGCAAACTTTATACTTGAGTTGTTTCTGTTTGGTAGTTTTTTTCACCTTTCAGTCACCTAGACGCCCGCGTAGATGTTTGTTTCTGCTCTGTTCGTAATCTATACATATATACTACGCGTATTGCTAAAGACAGCCCTCTTTCGATATTTGTTCCATGAGCAACGTCGATTTGCTGCAGCGAATGGGGCTACGCAAGCGTTATTCAGAGGTTTTTTTCCCTAATCAGATAAGTCGCAGTCTACTACTATAATGGATAGCAGGACACGAGAAGGGTTTGCATGGAAAGGTACCACCATTACTATAGCAGTTAAGTTAGCTGTTGGCAAGAACACTGCTGTAGCGGGGAGCATGGCGCAATTTAGGTCATCGATCTATCATACATCAAAGGATTGTCTATCTTTGTCTGGATTTTCCACCAGCCTGTATCAGTGAATCTAGCAGGTCGATAGAAGGCCGATGAAAAGCCACTTTTTCAAACAATTTTTTCGCGTGAATTTCTTTTTGTGTCGGCTATTGTTTCCTTTAAAAAGGTTGTTGAAGCAGAGCAAGGCTAAAGAGAAAATGAAGAGGAAAAGAATCGGAAATCGTTACAAATACAAAGGTCCAGGGAAGATATGCACTAAAAGCCAGGCCTTTTCGAAAGATAATTTTCCAACTTCTCGATTCTATAACATAACTCTAGTGAAATAGTATATATATAATGATGACAACCACAGCGATAAGTATTATTATACAAAGCGTAATATATTATAGCATAACGCAGTATGGGGACTTGGAAAAGGGTGTAGAGTTATATAAAGAGAGCTATGATTAAACATATTAACTTGAACTGACCGCGGATAATTATCATGGATGGCTCATGCATGCTTATCGAAAACTACTTGTGGGACGTTCTCATCTAATTTAATTTTTGCAAAATATGTAAATGGATACGGTACAGTGTGTTAACCGTAACTTATGCAGATACAATGATTAGTCCGAATATACCAAACTGTAAGCTGTTATAGTTCCATAAGTTAGTGAAGTTTTATCCACAGTAATGGTATGGTTATTATTTGCGAAGTGATCAATTTGTTTAGATAGGTGGGGAAGAGATCTGATATATACTATAATATTTGTCTGGAAGCAGAAGGTGTCTCAAATTAGACTCGATAAACTTACTCATTCAGTTATAAAAATATATCCTCGCTTTTTATCAAAAATATTTTTTAAATACAATGGGTTATCGATTAGCCCTATGAACAAATGCTTTTCCCACCTATCTTTATTATATATCTGTTTTACGGCGTCGAATGTTTTTTCTTCCCATGTGTTGTATTGTTAGGCACCGCCCTCGTCACGTCGTTCGACACGCCCGCCCGCAACGACAGCATAGAACGCAGACGCATCATGGAACTCATCGTAAAGGCCAGATAGGACATGATCACCTGCCTGTCCGTACCATGAAACATGAACACCATCATCCTTTGGTTGACTATCACCTTCTGGCCGTACAAAGGCATAGCGGCCATCTTCCTGGTCATGGTATTTTGCATCATGGTGCTATGAGCCACAAACACAGGAACATTGTAGTCGGCAAACCTGTGAAACTTACGAATGATATGCATGGAGAATACAGTAAGTCTTTAATTACAGACAATGTAAAACATTTGGGGTAACATAATGGATTCGTTTAATAAGGTATAATGGAAAAACTGTGCCTAAAGTTAGGAAGGTCAACCTATATTAGAAGTCATACAATACATGATGCAGGCATAAATTATCACTTATTTATTAGGAAGTACATTCCGTATATTGCAAACCTGAAAACGCTTGGGAGAATTATTTAAACACATTCGTTATTATTATGAAGATAGAAGATATGGTGAAGATAAGAAGAAGGAGTGCCATTGCCTTTACCCTAGATTGCCTTCACACGAATAATCAAACGGAATTTTTAAACTCAGAATGGGCTTCAGATTGCCCCGATTGATCTGAGGCTTGAAATATTAACGTATTTGATATTTTGTGCTGGGTATGAGGGCTGTTGGTTGAGGGTAGAACATCACTGTTTCAGTTACTATTTCAAGGTATGTTTCTTTAACGAGAAAATGACTGAAGATATGACTTATAAGTCATATCTTCAGTCATTTTCTCGTTGTAAAAAACAAAACGAAAACTTATAAGTTTTCGTCCTGTTATAAGGTATTTTTTACAATTCTATCGGAAATTATTCGAATTAATTTCCGTAATTTATTCACTCAAGCTAATTAATACTTTGTCGCCACTTTCGGTCGTCGGCCTATTTTCTGCAGGTCATTCCCTTCCGCTGCCAATGGTGATCAGCGAAAAACCGTTGATATTATCAGGCGATCGTTCTCAGCACCTTATAGTCGACCTTGGCGATGCTACGCCTTTGACTGATCATTACGGTACGTACTGCTTATTTATCACACCTTTATTTTCGGTTTACGTGCTACCAAACCTGATATAAAGTCTGGGCCGATAAACTCGAACAAATTGGTGATTGTGCGTCATATTTAGCGAATTGAACGTACCACAAAACGATTAAAAAAGAAATAACTTCGTTCATTCTAAACAGAAAACAACGGCTTTTCATTAAAAAAAAAAAACATACCGATAAATAGTAAATCACTTTGGTATTACAAAAAAAATCTTTCATATACTTTTTAGTGTACATCTACTGTTTTGTTTTTATCCGATACTGTCATTTTGATAGGTTTAGATGTCTAGGGTGTTAATGGAAAGAGTATTCTAATAAAAATGTAAACAAAAAGGCCTAAGAGCAAGTTTTTTTATGTAACTTGTAAACAGTATTACTTGATTCGTGTTTTACATAGTAATATATATGTATATATACATATATATATATATATATATATAATATTTTAGAGCTGGCGCAGCCGGTCAAAAACGCGTGGTTTCGTGGAAACGGTGATGGACCCACTATCTGAAAACGAATCACCCCAGAGCGATTGCCTAATGGAGACTATTGTTCACAACAGTGTGTGTGCCTTTGATATATAAGAATGCCTCACTAAAAAGAACATAGATATAGCCCGTTATTTTCCTGTATTTTCCGGAAATCGACAAATAAAGGTTATTGGGCGATGAAATTTTCTCCAAATGTTACCCGCGACTCAGTTCTCTTCATTTCCATCAACCTTAAAAATCTATCGTGTTACTGGCGAAGAAACCTCATCATGAGATTTGTTACATCACCCCATATTTTCGATTATTCCTATACAAGTTACATCGTATCGTGCAGGAGTCATGGTCACGGGGTGGGACGATACCATAATCAACTTCCTTATACCGAAGGCAAGCGTTTCATACGTTTGTCAGAAGAGCGTATTTGAAGGGGAATCGCTTACTCAGCAGAAACGCATAGCAGGTAGATTTCAGATAGTTGATTTGTTTGCTGTCCTCGCAGTGATCGTGTACAATGGAGTCCAGAGATATCAATGTGCCTCAAAGCATGTTATAACTGTGCGAAATTAGCTAGGATGAGATCAGTTTGACCTAAACGAAGAACAGTTGCAGAAATATTTAATACGGGAATCTATTGAAAAAGTTTCGCTTCAAACGTCACGGCGAAAAGCGCTTTATCAACACAACTGCTATACGATATAGCCTAGAAGTTTTGCGTTTACTAGAACGAGCCTTATCTTGCTAACGGCTAGACCTTTTCTCGAAATGTATGTACGCAGAGTCATTTTCTTGGTCTAAATTACGCACGCCAGCTGCCATTATCGTTAGGCAGCTTGCTCTGACGATTATATTGTTTTACAGCTTTTTTTTTTTGTTGTTAATTTTAAAGCGAATAAAATCCGATAAATGATAGAAAGTTACTCGAAGCAGAGTTAAGTGTTAAAGTCAACCAGCAAACTAAATGTCTATTTGAAAACATGATTCGTTCGTAACCTTTGAGGGCTAGGACTATCCTCAGTATAACCAATGACACCAACTTGTGAAGTTAGTGCGAAAAGAGAAGTTCTGATTAACCAATACGTTCTAAAACTTCTGTTCCTGCGTTGGACGTGTCTTGTATCAGTTGTGGCAGAACCACTCCAAGTAAGTGAAGTAGATGGCTGATGTAAGGCTTGTAATGATAAATCTCACTTCGATTAAGTGAGCAGCACTGAAGAACATACTTCGACCATTTCGTACGTTCAAATAGAAGAATTGATTTATATCATGAAACAAATACCGATTAAACAATAAGATCCGCAGCAACAAATATGAAATTGTGGTCGCCCCTGTAGAGATACCTGACGGACATTGCTATGAATAAACTTTAATTATTTGTCATTAAAACACGTCCCTGCGATCAGTTGATACGATTGATAGTCGATCGTGGACTATTTAGTGATGTGAGAAATATGTCCTTCACTCGTTAAACTTTGAAGTTATATGTATGGTAAGTTTTTAAGGTTCATATATTCTCGCGCGTATCATGTATACACCAAATATTCAAATATTTTCATTGTTTTTCCCGCCATTCTGTGGTGAAGTAGAGAGGCAAATGTGACCAGTCAATATCTGCTGGTCGTATAAGGACTTTTCTAAATTCTAGAGACACTGTTGATTATTTTTTATGATTTCTGGCGCATTCAACTATTGATTCCTAACATATTCGGTTTTTTTTTCCATATATTCTAGCAAGTTTTAAAAGCCACTTTATTAATTACTAGATTTTTTGTACCCGAATCGTCACAGCACAGAGCTAAGTTTCCGAGTAGAACGTATTATTATGAGCGACCAAAATCAGATTGGGCCACGTTATAGTGTTATTAAAACGATTACATACGAGTTTCACATTGAAATTTTTGTCTGTCTGCGAAGCTAAAACGTTCACGGAAGTTGTATATAAAAAGAGCCTTCTTCAAGTGAGCAAACGAGCATATTATCGATCGTCAGTGTTTACGGCTATGATACCATGAACGCCCCGTCATTCCTCCTGCAAATTGTAACCTCAATCTAGTACCGCTCAGGTTTTTTTGTTTCGCTTATAAAATATATCTAAAAACTCGAAGGATTGTCCATAATATCCAACTGGAACGCTAGTTGTGTTTATACCGCTTTTAGGCTGATTTTTGATATTCTAATTAATTATATAGATAAGGTGTAAGTTCTTCATTAACCACTAAATAGCATACTTAACTAGACAGAAGCTAAGTTGTAAATATATTAAAAATCAATTTAATTGTATTTGAAAATGAAGCCTATTGATTTGAGCCCTATACACACATTAATACTCTATATTCTATGAAGTATTCTAATATTCTCAGTTGTACTTATTTTGCCCTTAAGGAAATGAACGGATTGTTTCTCACTGGTCTCTTCTCGTTTGCGTGTGAGTTACAATTTCGACCCACTTTGTCCGTTCGTAAGCTTAGTTGGCACAAAAAAATTTTCTAAATGCTAAAGAATTTTCACCAACAGATTGAAACGTACCACCCGGTCTCTGTTTGAATATTGGCATTCAGTTCCTAAGTGAATGCTGGTTTATCCTTTTTTTCGTTCGTATACGATAAAAGCAGACAGCTGAGGGACGTTAAGTCGCAGACCCGAGGCGACCGCGAGTTCGCTTCCCGAAAATACCCGAGAGACAAAGCCAGTGCTAACGATAAAGATGTCGTCGCGACCCAGCGGCCCGTCAGCCCATTATGTACCGGAAAGCTGCCTTCATTCGTGTTCAGAGCACTTGCAGCAGATGACACGAAGCCCAGCTGTATACCGTAATAACGGTAACAGTTGGGCTTCTGACTGGGAGTACTGACGAATTATATTAACGTTTAATAATCAAATTAGTAGTGTATATAAAACGTTTTTACAGATTTCATTTTCGCTGCCAACGTAAACTAGTCGATTATGAGAACAACTTAGAGGTTAGTTCACTCTCAAGACAAGCTCTACAGTCGAACTCAAAAAAAGTTGTGTCACCAAGTGTGTCTTGTTGTAAAAAGGCTTCGAAGTCATAAAATGACACTATAATTGTACTTAATATCATTGTTCATAATTTTGAAAGTATAATGACATTTATTTCGTCTTAGTCTGTAAATTTACCTAAGGCCGACCGCGCTGGCCAGTGCAAGTGTCCAGTTCATCGCTATAGATGTGCGGCAGCCTTTCCCAACCCCCTGCACTCATTCATGGATTAAGTCCGATTGTTTTGCCGGTAGTGACGTTGCACTGGCCTGTTCCCAATTTACGTGAGGGACTTTTAATTTTCAGTCAATAGAGGAAAACGTATAATTCTTCGCGATCGCAGTCGTCATCACAGGCGTTGCTTCGTATAACGCGTTTTAAGGAACACCAGTAAAATTTAAAAAAAAAAAGCATGATACACATTACTACATAACAATTCACAGCAAATTGCGGTTGGCCTACGTTGATCTCGCTTTATGGCCCCCTATTTTTCCTAACTATTTAGGCATTTTAGTGGTATTTTTCGTGTTTCTGACAATTATAGCCATACGCTGCAGTAATGACTTCAAGAATGGATCGTCATACCTGTCGCAAGCGCAAAAACTACCATACCAGAACGAGCATATCGGTCTAAGGGTCGTACAGCTCTTCATATCTTCAGTATCACTATATCTCTGTTTCTAAATTGGATCGTCACAAGATATATACATATAACGTCGGTATTGTATAATGTTTGGTAGATACTATATAATAGATATTATATATGCCTTTTTGTAGAATCCACTGTGTTTAATGGTGGTCTTACATGAAACAATTTAGCTTTCCTAGCCTGTAAGTAAGGTTAAAGAAGCGCGCTCCCTACTGCATAGAACAGTTCGACTACAACAAACAAATAACGAACAAACGACACAAGCAAATAAAAATACCAGTACTTTGGCTTATTATTTTTCCTTAACGTTACCTAAATTACTCTAGTTCCAGTTCAACACAAACCAAAAATGAAGCTATTGTTAACAATAAAAAATATCCCGTGATGACTAGAAAGTGGTGTATCACGTGAAATACGTCCCCAGTCACGCGGCAGATAACTCGTTTGATAACATCGGGCTTTGCTGCTCCTCGAAATGAAGACACTTATCCCCTGTTATCAATAGGCCGCGATGTTCAGCCGTCATCAAAGCTAAAAAAAAACAAAGTAAATGGTCAGTAGACCGCTTTCGGGGAATTAAATGAAAAAAATACGATACGAAAATTCCAAGTCCGCAGAAAAATTCTGTTATTATCTTTATAATCTAGGATTGCACATAGTGTCGGTACTGTTAAATAGATTATGCTGCAATAATACAATATAAATATAAAGTTTTTTTTTTTTAACATACGTATGCACCGATTGGTTGACTACGCTACTTTTTAGGAATAATGGTCAAAAGTAAAATTTAACTATGGAATAATGTAATATGTAAATTTTATTTATGAGTTGATAAATTTCACATTCTGGCTGCTTTCGACTTAGCTTAATGATCATGTTTGAAGCTTTTTCGATAGAACGCAAAATCTGTTGTTGTTGGTGGTACAATATCCTAAGTCGCGTAATCTAGAAAAAAAAAGGTTGTATATATATATATATATATGTACATACAACATATGGGAATGTAGCGTAGAAAAAAGATGCAATGGCTGATTTGAACCGAATTAGAATTATCGACAATGAAAAATTTGCCTATGATCAGTCGCTTGGTATCTTTCAGCTCACAAGTTATCGGCGAAATTTATTTCAGGACATTTTCTTTCTTGTCATCCGTAATTCAGGCTCAGTTAATTCAAGTCGCACAAAAGACGTTACTAGGTAGCACATAAGTGCTATTGTTACTGACGTCACATTCAAATAATAGCTAATTTTCTTAAATAAGCCGTAAACCTTCAGGCGACGACGACGACGACGGCGGCGGCCAAACTGCAATATGTGTTTTGTGTTATTACAAATGCGTTAGTTTATAGGCTAACTATACTGTTCTGGATTATCACTATGCCAGCTACCGCCCAACACAAAACATTCAGCTCTAACTCAACATCCAGAAGATTAAAAGCTGCATTTCAATCTGGACACATGAATGTCTCAACTAAGTTAGAAGCAAAACAATTGTTTGTGTCGTG